GGACATGTGGTGACTGAGTAAGAGTCGGGCGACGACTGTATTCAGTGTCCATTCCATGGCTGGAGGTTTGGCGGAGACGGACAGTGCAAACGCATACCTAATCTCAACCGTATGTCTATAACTATTCATTATTTATAAATATATTTAAATTATTGTATAAATTCATAACGTTTTCATAGAGTCTGAGTTAAATACAGTGAAAGCTGTGGTAAAGAAATGGCAGACAATAGAGAGGAATGAATTGATATATGTTTGGCACCACTCGGAGGATAAGGACCCCAATCACTACCCCCAGGATTTTCTCGGAAAAAACTATCACAATCTATCATTGATAGGGAGTTTTCTCAGACTTGTGCATTGTAACTATCAGGTACATTAATATATCATTAATTTATTCTCGTTTATGTTTAATTTAATTTAATACAGTTAATGTTAGACATTTCAGTCCAGACAATTTTTGAGAGAAAAATATTAAGAAAATAATATTTTTCCTAAAAGTTACTTACACTAATAACAATGTAGTTTAATTATAAAATCAAATATTAATAATTATTATAACAATTTCTATTAAAATTGTATATTATCTTAGATAATAAATTATATTATTGATCTTTAATAAACCAAATAATTTCAACAATAATCATTAGCCATTTGTTTTTACTATGATAGATTATAATGGAGAATGCGTCCGACCTACAGCACTTTCATTACGTACATCAGGAGCTCATACCACACATAACTAGTCTAAAATTTTTATTTGATAGCTCTGATGGCACAGAGACGGAGCATACAATCACAAGTAAAATGACCATATATTTCCTCGGCGTGGAGTTGGTCACTGTACCCATTAAACTGTGTCACGTGTCACCAGTGACTGAACTCCTATACATTGGCACAGAGGACTTAATGTTGGGCCCTGTAATATCATTGTTTACTTTTGTTCCATTGCATCATAGTGAAACGTTGAGCAGAGTAATATTTTTCTACAAGTCATCTATTTTCAGCAAGCTATATTTTACAGCATTTAAGTATATGCTGAATATGCAGGTATATTATGCACTGCATTTGTTGATTAAACTGTAAGGTTATTGTTATTACATTTTATGTTATTGTTAATTAAATAAATTTACAGTTTCGTGTATAGCAAATAATGTTTGCATCACGTTTTTTAGTGTGGGTTGAATTTAATAGAATATTATAAAATTGTAAATTAACATGGCTAATTTTTATTTATATATTGGGTATATAGATTGATTCGGATGCTGTTATAATGGTTAATTCTCTAAAACTTCAGCGCTCGATATTGACTCGCAATGACGAGGCAATGGTCAGGTGGCGGCGCTTTTGTCAAAAGTTTTACACTAAAAAATTGGTTTCGTCTTAATCTTTAATTAATTAATTTATTTTTGATATATTTATTTAAATTATTTTGAATAATTGGTTTTATCATAATAAATCTGGTATATATAATATTTATTATTTTGTTATTTTGCTATTTGAATCATAATCTAGGCTGTGATCTCAACGGTTTTTTGCGGAAAAATACACTCAAAAAACTAATTTTGCAATTAAACAAAAAAACAAAACAAAACAAAAAACAAATTAAAAACAACATATTTTTATATTTGAATAAATCGATTCTTAACTATAATTTCAAAACAAGACAATTTTAATCAAAAAGTTTAAATGACAGAATACAGTTATTGATAAACATAGATTACAATGCAATAATATATAATAATAATACAAAACACTGCCATAGACTTATACCATAGAATTAACATTACTTATAAGAACATAAATTACATGATAAAGTAGCCATGAAATTAATCTGGGATGCCATGCTATCGAGATAGTGTGGGGGATGGGCCAAGTGATCCTTGATATAAAATCTCTTAGAATTATAGTTAAAACAAATAGTAATTAAAATTAAATAACAAGGCATTCAGAAATAAATGTCCATAATGGCCATAACTTAAAAACGAATAAAGTTAATTTGATTCTGTCTTCGGATTATAATAATACCATCCCATGTCCACATCTCACATAAATTTTATCAGGATTGATTAACATTAAGACTATTTATTTTCAATAAAACTGACAAAAAAATTGCTCAAAAAATTTATTGAAATAGGAAAACTTTTTCCCTGATTAATAAAAGTCATAAGTGTCTATATAATTATGATAGCTACACATATCATCTATAATCTCAATAAATAATTTTATCTCAGCAAGCTCTACTTTTTCTCTAATAAGAGGTAGAACCAAGGCACTTATGGGCCAAATTGAACTTTGTCAATTTTATTAATGAGCTTTTTACAAAAAAAAATTTCTCGCACAGACACTGTACTAAGTTGTAAGTTTTAAAAGATCATTAAAAAAATGATAAAGTTGATTTTTGTAAATAAATGCATTGGTTTAAAATTTCATTTAAAAATAATCAGAAATTTCAAAGGTAAAATTATATGTTTAAATTATAGATGATATGTGTAGCTATCATAATTATATAGACACTTATGACTTTTATTAATCAGGGAAAAAGTTTTCCTATTTCAATAAATTTTTTGAGCAATTTTTTTGTCAGTTTTATTGAAAATAAA